GCCTCCCCCTATCAGAATGGTACATTTGTTATAATTGATGAACATATACCAACACATCATTATCATCCAAAGCCCATAAGTTTACATTAGGATTCATTCTTGGTCTTGTACATTCTATAGGTTTGGACAGATTTATAATGGCACATCTCCACCATTATAGCATCATACTTATTTATACAGCCTTAAAAGTCCTCTGTACCCTGTCTATTCATCCCTCCCTCCTAACTCCTGGCAACCAGTGATGTTTTTACTGTCTTTATAGTTTTGCCTTTTCCAGAATGTCATATAGTTGTAATCATACAGTATGCAGTCTTTTCAATTGGTTTCTTTGTCTTAGTAATATTCACTTAAGGCTCCTTCATGTCTTTTCATGGCTTGCTAGTTCATTTTTTTTAAGTTCTGAATAATTGTCTGTTGTCTGGATATACCACAGTTTATTTATCCACTCACTCACTGGAGGACATCTTGGTTGTGCCCAAGTTTTGATGATTATGAATAAACACCTATGTGTAGATTTTTGTGTGGACATAAGTTTTCAGCTCCATTGTGTAAATGCCTAGGAGCACGGTGGCTGGATCATAGGTAAGAGAGTATGCTTAGGCTTGTAAAAAACTGCCCAACTGTCTTCCAAAGTACTATTTTGCATTTTTACCAGCAACGAGCAAGAGTTCCTCTGTTGTTCCACATCCCTGCTAGCATTTGGTGTTGTCAGTGTTCTGGAACTTGGCCATTCTAATAGGTATATAGTGGTACATACACATTAGCTTTTAGCAAGGGCTTAGTCTTTTGAATTATGATCCAGTGGTAAATACCAGGTGCTTCTTCAAGAACTGTGTATTCTCCAGATCTGATAGGTATGTGATTACTGGAAAGATCATACACACTGGAGACACCCAGACCTGAGGTTTGTAGCTTAGCTCTGGTATACTCCATGGATGGGTTATTTAACTTCTTTGAGTTTTAATTTCCTCTTTGGTAAAATGGAAGTAATACATTAATTATAACTACTTACTTCAATGATTATATGAATAAATTGTGGACCTTCTCTGATTTTATTCAGGTGATTAATACAAATATTTGGCCAGGATGGGACTTAAGACTGTACCTTGTACCATACCACTATTAGCTTTTCTCTAGGTTGAAAAACCACCACTCATTGAGCACATATATCTGTCCCATAATCCAGCCCACACAGTTTCATCTCAGGTATGTTTGGAGAGGTTTTGTCAAACACCTCATGAAAATCCAATACTTACTAAGGTAGATTTCTTTGGGTTATTTGTATGCATTTTTCCTTTTCCCATCTTTGGGAAGACTTTGGGTCTATAGGTACTATTTTTTAATTCTTTCTTCATTAGTTCTTCCTTGTTCTTCTAAAGGATACATAGAAGTCTCTGATTTCTAGGCTACTATGTTTCCTGAGTAGATGATCCCTAGATGAAGTAATTTGAGTTTCCCTGGCTTCTTTTAGAAGGAGTCATTACAGAAAATGATACATGTGTTAGCTGAGACAGATCTCTCATTTTATTTGGGGGTTGTGTGTGTGAGCACATGTGTGTGTGTCTGATGGTGTAACAGGGCTTGAATTACATCTTTGGAACTCTTTGTTCCTACTATTCAGTATCTCCATCATCAAATCAGAGCTTAGGTTCCTCATTGCTTTTGCTATCATCACTGATAACTGAGATTGAGTAGAAGGAGATAGCCAAAAATTTTAATCTAACTGGGAGCTCAATCCAAACTTCTAAAATCTAGCTGGAGTGGGGTAGTAGTGTGTTTTGATAATCCAGATAATGAAGAGAGAAGCACCCCCTAAGAAATCTTAACAAAGAGTCTTAAGCCAGTCCTTTTGTTGACAACTTTATCCGAGAAACCATCTTCTATGAGACTTTTCTAAACTTTAGACTAATCCTCTCCTTGCCACAGAAGTCTTTTTGTTGGGGGGAAATTGTAAGTGAACGCAGGAGGGACAGGCCTCTGTAAGCACCCGCTCAGTCTCCAGATTCTTTTAATTGTTAGCCTTTCATCTGTCCTGTAGTCCTTCTGGCCTAGGGATCTCTTTATCAAATAACAAAACAGATGAAATTATTCATAAATCCTCTTCTTAGACTCTTTAAGTCTGTGTCTAATTTTTGAGCTAATCACTGCTAAATTCTGGGTGTATGACAAGAGCAATAACCATTCATTGCTTTTTCTTCAAGTATCATGTCTGTTGCCTTGGACATCATATTTACAATATTCCAGATCACAGGTGATGGTATGAAAACCCAGGTCCATGGTGGAGTTAGGTTTGAAGCTTCTTAGTAAGGCAAAGCAAATTAAAACTGAAACAGTAGTAATGTGGCCCTGGAAGTGAATGAAGAATAAACAAAATCAAAAGACATGAGTCAGATTGAGTAAGGAAAATGTGTTAAACATTGATGCAAAGTTATTGATAGAATTCCATACATTGATAGAAAAGATAATAATAAATTATAACAGAGACAGCATCTTGCCCCTGGTAATAAGAACTAAAAAAGCTTTAAAAATAATTGATCTCTGGATATACCATATCCCACTGTTCAAAACATGCCAAGGTTGGAAATAAAATGTGTAAAGTGCCTGACACAATAATATACCCAGTAAATTTTAGTTCCCCTCTATTTCTCTATTGTAGACATCAGTATGCATTTTTTTTCCATTCCTGAAACTGACATTTTGAGGATAAGAGTTTTAATTTTGAGGCATTGCTGCCAGTTACAAGTCCTAATATCCCAATTTACATTTTGGATCTTCTGAAAAGTGAATATTTTAACATAAATTCAATTTAGTGGAAAAAATTTACAGGCCCCACGTGTCCATGTGATTACCTTTAGTTGGTTTAACTCCAGCACACCCAGATTTTGCTGATCCCAAGCCATTTATTAAACAGTTTAATTGCTCTAGATTTTCCCTATTGTGGTTCGTCTCCTACGGTTTTATCTCCTTACATTAATACCAAGGGCCTAGGGATATCACGAGATTACTCCAATTGAGGCTAAATCTGCTTCCTCCCTCTCTCAATTGCTGGCAAAGGCACTAAGTTCGACGTGCTGCATTTAATTGACTTTCTATTGTGACCATTTTATACCTACAGGTAATAATCCTTTGTGGAAAGTCATTGAAGACCAGAGAGGCAGGGTTATCTCCCTACCCTCTGGCTGCTTGTAAAATAAAATAACAACAATAACAGAAGTAATAGTAATGCTTATGGAACACCACCACCTGAGACCATTTCTATCAATGTCTTTGATAATTTTATGAAGGGCAAATCTTTAGAGAATGTAGCTAAAGTACATCCTATTTTCATAACTAGTGGGTTTAAAATGACATAATTATACAGTAAAATCTCTGCTTTAGAAAGTATTGTGCTTGGGAAATACCATATTATCGTGTTGCCTATTGTAATTCCAATTGTATACTGTCAAAATACAAACTTGGGTATTTTATAAAATGTTATGAGGAACAGCTATAATTCTAAACTTCCTTGATCTTTCCAAATTTCTTAAACATTTTTTTAAATGTTTATTTATTTTTGAGAGAGAGAGAGACGGGCAGAGAGAGCGAGACAGAATCTGAAGCAGGCTGTAGCCTCTGAGCTGTCAGCACAGAACCAGATGAGGGGTTGAACTCATGAACCATGAGATCATGACCTGAGCTGAAGTCGAACGCTAAACTGACTGAGCCACCCAGGCACCCTGATCTTTCCAAATTTCTAAATACAGTGATCTTAGAAAATCCAGGAGGCAAGCATCTTTACATGCCTTTAAATACCAACAGCCAAAGAGAGATCCAAGAGAAAGTGGCAAAGAGCTGAATCCTGCCCTGTGAATTATCTTATGAGCTGGCAGGTGTGGGGAGCACACCAGTGATTACTATCTAGGCCCTGAAAGTTCTATCAGGAAGCATGGCCAAGCTGTGGTTTCCAAATGGGTGGTCAAACCATAGTCTAATGCTTGTGGCTTGGGATATAGCCAGGGTCACCTAAAGGGCCAGGTGACTGGCTGGCTTTGTGCATGGGCCCCACCTTGATCCCTCTATCTGGATTATTGTTTCCCCCCCCC